CCAAATAATCAGGTAAATCATTTAAGTATATACTAAAATTTCATCAGAGTAAAATTAAACATGGCATAAAAGAGATATGCCACATCATACATGAAATTAACATACAACACATGCTCTATAAAAGACATGTAACAGTGGGGTAGCTTTCAACAGAGGAACTTAGTCCTTACACCCACATCTCAATATTTAGAATTAAAAGCGGAAAATCTAAACATTGAATCGTTTTAAACATGTAATCATATAAATACATATCATCCAGTTTAATTCACCACATCATTCATGTGTTACATAAGCATTTGTCAGCAGATACATATACAAATGTATCACAAAAGAATGCTATACAATCCTAACTACCCGGTGATACATATCAGAGCTAACCGACCAAAAGAATGTAGCTATACTTCACAAAAAGACCTCCAATGATCCTAATCTGCAATGCCTCATAGAGCATTATAAAACAGCAGAAGGGTGAGAAATATTATCATAATAATCGATGCAAATAATTATATATACATATATACAAGCATAGAATATACATATTCCGCATTTCTCACCATAACTCATTATCATCATCATATACATCACAATATATGTATAAACAAATATGGATAATCACCAAACATGTTTCATCATGCATACATCCATAATTCTCAATTCAACAATTCACACACAAGCATACTTCATGTAACAATGATATTCATGCCATGTGACTTGATACAACTCAATGCAACTCATGCCATGTGGTACCAACACTTGTTATCATTTTTCGGTTTTTACATTTAAACCAGGTCCCCCTTCTAGACCGATAACAACAAACACCCGTACTCTAAGATTTCAAACCCACTCTTCTAGGCTTGGGACAAGTCACTAGTCTCCACGAAACTAGCAAGCACTGCCTATTGACTAAATGATGCGTATGCAATCAACAACCAAATGCACTTAAGACCGTTCCGACATCTTAATCCCATGCATAGTCAAATAATTCATCACATAAGAATTATAACATGATTGCACACTCACACATCATATCAAAGCACTCATACATTCAACATCATCACATTATCAAGCAATGCACACATATTCACAATATGTTCCCATGCATTCTTCACAATATTGCATACAATCAATATGCATTTCACATCATCGTGCCAAACGGCAACAACTTCATCACAAATTATCATCCATTTTTAATCAATTTAAACAATGCAATATAATCGCCAAACGGCCACAATTCATAATCGATTCCACAATCTAGGATTCACGCCATACGGCTACCCACAACATATCACACAACAGCACATAACGATTCATTTCTAATCAGAATTGAACACAATCAAGCCAAACAATCAACATTGGATGGAAAACACAAGAAAATGAAATGTTGTCACGCTCGCTAGCATGCTCGCCTAGCGAGTTCATGGCGAATGCTTGCTACCAGTTCGCTGTAGCGAACAAGCTCACGAAGACAAACAGAAGCTACTGGAAGGTTTTGCTACTGGCTCGCTAGAGCCTCGCCTAGCGAACAACTCGCTACCAGCAAATTGAGTCTTTTCCATTCTGCCCAAGTCTGGGACCACTTGCTACCAGCTCGCTGTAGCGAACGCTCGCGACCCTGCTCGCCTAGCGAAGATGCTAGCGAGTGTCTGCGATGTTCAAAACCCCAACTGTCGAAAATTTATCAGAAGCTCACGAATCAACCGATTCCCACCAAACCAGTTCCAATAGTCTTAGTCTAACATCCTTCGACTAAACTACACAACCTATTCTCGATTTTAACCGTTAAAACATCGATTCTACCGATTACACTCATTTCTGCCCTAAAATGAAAAATATGGAAAAACATCCAACAATCCAAACCAATCATACATAATCACATACATTGACAAGATAATGATATTTCACATCCTTATCTTGATTAAATCGATCCCAAAGAGTTGATCTTGAGCTTTCCAAGCTTTTCCCTCTTTTCCTTCTCTTTTCTCCTCTTCCTCTTTCTTTCTCTTCTTTTTCTCTTATGTTTCTATTTTTTCCTTTTCTTCCCACTTTCCTTATATGTCTTTCTATTCACTTTCCTTCCATCATATTTTCCTCTCTCAAATATCTACCAATAATTCCAATAATTAAAATAATCCAAATAAATCAATTATTTAATACGAATAATTAATTATTGAAAATTGGGCTGTTACAACCCTCCCCCACTTTAGGAATTTTCGTCCTCGAAAATGTTACCTGTTTCAAACAACTCTGGATACGACTTCTTCATCTAACTCTCAAGTTCCCAAGTCACATTTCCACCAGCCGGTCCTCCCCACGCGACCTTCACTAAAGCAATCTCTTTACCTCGAAGTTGCTTCAACTCCCGATCCTCTATCCGCATAGGTGATGTCTCCACAATCAGGTTATCTCTCACCTGCACATCATCTACTTGGACTACATGAGACGGATCCGCAATGTATTTCCTCAATTGAGATACATGGAACACATCATGGAGATTAGAAAGCGACGGCGGTAAAGCAACACAATAGGCTACCTCTCCTATCCTCTGCAAAATCTGATAAAGACCAATGAAATGCAGTGTCAACTTACGCGACTTCAATGCCCTACCAACACCATTCATAGGAGTAACCCGAAGAAACACATGATCTCCCTCCTGAAATTCAAGTGTTTTCCTCCTCTTGTCATAATAACTCTTTTGACGACTCTGAGAAATCTTCATCTTTTCTTGAATCATCTTAATCTTATCGGTGGTCTGCTGGACTATCTCGGGTCCAACCACAGAACTCTCTCCCGACTCATACCAACACAATGATGTCCTACACCGTCTACCATACAATGCCTCGAACGGTGCCATACCAATACTCGAATGAAAATAATTGTTGTAAGTAAATTCAATCCAAGATAAGTAGCTATCCCAAGTTCCTCCCTTCTCTAACACACAAGCTCTCAAAAGATCCTCAAGTGATTGAATAGTTCTCTCAGTCTGACCATCGGTCTGCGGATGATAAGTTGAACTCAAACGCAATTTCGTACCCAAAGCACTTTGCAAACTCTCCTAAAATCTTGAAGTAAACCTCAGATCTCTATCTGACACAATACTAGACGGAATACCATGCAAACTGACAATCCTCTCAATGTACACTTTTGTCAACCTCTCCAACGGGTAATTCATTCGCACAGAAATAAAGTGAGCAGATTTGGTCAATCTATCCACAATAACCCAAATAGCCTCAAAATTACTCGGCGTTCTAGGTAAACTAGACACAAAATCCATAGAAATGCTATCCCATTTCCACTCAGGAATAAACAACGGCTTCATCAAACCCGACGGTTTCTGATGTTCAATCTTTGACTTCTGACAAGTCAAACAGGAATACACAAACTCGGTAATATCCTTCTTCATACGAGGCCACCAAAATACTTTCCTCAAATCTTGATACATTTTAGTAGCACCCGGATGAATACTCAATCCACTACGATGGCCTTCTTCAAGAATACTCTTCTTCAGCTCAACAACATCAGGAACACAAACTCGATCACGACACCTCAAGATACCATTTTCATCAATCCAAAAATCACCACCTTGACCTTGATTGATCAAAGTCAACCGATCGACCAAACTCAAATCAGATTTCTATCCTTCTCGAATCTCATCCAAAATACCACTGGTAAGCTTTAACATACCAAGCTTAACTCCGTAGGAAGTCTCCTCACACACCAAGCTTAAATCGCGAAATTGTTCAATCAATTCCAACTCTTTTACCATCATCATCGACATATGCAACGATTTCCTACTCAATGCATCAGCTACCACATTCGCTTTATCTGGATGGTAATTCAAACCAAAATTATAATCCTTTAGAAGTTATAACCATCTCCTCTGCCTTGCATTCAATTCTTTATGATCAAAGAGATACTTCAAACTCTTATGATCGCTAAATACCTCAAATCTCGAACCAAACAAATAATGCCTCCAAAGTTTCAACACAAACACAACGGCGGTCAACTCTAAGTCATGCGCCGGATAATTCTTCTCATGCACTTTGAGTTGCCTCGAAGCATAAGCTACAACTTTTAATATATTTATTTATGTTTCTAATATTTATTTATATAATTAAATTAATATTTATAAATACTATGTTATTATTTGATATTTATAAAACTTAATTATTGCATAATATTTTTATAAAAAATATCAACGGGTGCGCGGCTATTGATGTCATATTTTTTAAAAATAAATTATATATTTTATATTTATTAATCTTAACTTTTTTTCTTTCAAATTTAATTGTAAATAAATAAGCGTCACAGACCAATACGCGTGCGAAGACAAGAATATCCCGCTAGACTATCAAAATCAATTTAAACTTAATGTGACACATGGTATAAAAAATATGTGATTGTTGATAAATATATATTTAATTTTTATTTCAAAATAATTAAAATAATGTTAAAGGTGTATAATTGATTTTTGAGTTTGATTATTTTTTAAAATGGATTAAACTAATTTTTCTAATTAACTTTCAAAGTGTATGTTTATATATCCATTGTATAAGTATTATTAAATATATTTTATTATGCATTAAATATTGATAATTTAACATTTTATTTTAGAAATGATTCAAATATCAATACCTGAATTTTCAAATTTATTTTCAAAATTTTTTAATTATTTAAAATTATGTGTCATATTTGGTGCATGCATCTAGTACACACTTTTAATTATTTTTTAACTAATTATCACTTTGCTTATGTTAATCCGTAAGTTAATTTTCAATTGTCTTTTTGCCCTTACATTAATCTCTATGTTTATTTTAAGCCCTTTATAAGTATGACACTCCGTTACTCTCATCCTTGAACCTCACCTCAGGACACAGACCCCTCACCCACCCCATCCCGTTCCGTTCTCATCCCAACTCAACAACCTTTCTTCCTTCCTTCAATCGCCTTCAAACTAAGTATTCAAATCTCTTTCAACCTTTCTCTATTTTCCAACAATTCCAATGACACCACCCTCTCTTACAATACCAATCACAGTAACGAACACGGACTCGTCACGTGACTCAAATACAAAGAAAACAAAGAACAAGAAGCATCATCATCAAGATTCTCAGATTCAGATCAACCCTAAATGGAAATCCCATGTGCAGCAACAAATCTACTCCACCAAGCTCCGTCAAGCCATAACATCGCTCAACTCAACAAGCGCTCCCCGCCGTGGAAAAGCCGTACGAGAAGCAGCCGACAGAGCTCTCGCCGTGACTGCCAGAGGAAGAACCCGGTGGAGCCGAGCCATTCTGACGAGCCGGCTCAAACTCAAGTTCAGGAAGAATAAGAATAAGAATAAGAATAAGATACATCGAGTAAAGGCGTTAAAGTCGTTGCCGTCAACGCGATACAAGAAGTCGAGAATCAATGTTTTCCGGTTGAGAGGAAAGGTGGTTCCCGGTGTGCAGAGTAAAGTAAGGTTTCTTGGACGGTTGGTTCCTGGTTGTAAGAAGGAACCGTTACCGGTAATATTGGAAGAAGCTATTGATTATATACCCGCGCTTGAGATGCAGGTTAGAGCCATGACTGCTCTTTTTAATCTGTTATCAACGTCCACTTCCGGCGCCGGTGACGGTGAAGGTTCTAGTTCCGGCTGTTAAAACACTTTAGTTTTTCGGGTTTTAATTTGTATGTAACTGTAATATACGCCAAGTGTCCATTTTTTTATTTTTATTATTGTTATTATTTACTATATTATTTATTATTACCTCTTTTAAGGGAAAAATTCGATGTCCTTGTTTGTTTTATTTTTCTCTATTTCTGAGTAAGTAAAACAAGTGTTGTAGTTATTGCTTTTAAGTGTGTGTAAGAATGGGATGGGAATGGCATCTTTCAAGTTACAATGACAAGGTTGAATTGTTGGAACTTGAATATTGAATGTTTGTGATAAATAGATGAAATGGTTCTCGTTAAAGAGGCAATTCATCCTAGGTATAGCTTAGGACTTGGAATTATCTCCATTTCACATAAGATATGGAAGCTTCTCTTTTAACTTATTTTCAATGAGAATATAAGCAAAAGGATATCAAAGAAAATTTGTAGTACAAAACTACAATGCAGCTCTCAAAGGCTAGGAACATATAAGGTTTTCTTGGAATTTAAGTGACCGCCGAAGTTTAAAATTGATTAGAAATAGTGGAAATAAAAGATTTATATTTTTATTATTTTAAGATTTTGGATGAATGTGTATAAAAAATTGAGCGCATGTTGGGTCTATAAATAATGCATGTTTTAAGTCTAAAAATACAAATTTTATGAAAATATCATTTCCATAACAATCTGCAAAAAAACGAACAAATAATTTAGATCAAAAACCTTAGTATCCTCACGCAAAAGTGTAGGAAAAATGGACATGTCCATTTCCATTGATACTTTTGACGTTTTACTGACTCTTTTGGATAGATTATATAAGTTTACTAAATTAATAAGCGTCAAGAATCCAATAAATTTGTGATCGAAGAGAATCTAATTTTCCATCCCACATAAGAATGGTTGGATGCTTGTGTTTAGAGTTAAAAGAGAAATATGCCTTAACTTTAAAACTAAAATAAAATAAAGTAACTAATTGTTAAGCATGGTGATAATTGAGATTTAAAATAAATGTATGTTTGTGTGATGGTCCTGGTGGAAATTGAATGAACGAAATGGCCAACTCCACTTTGTATAAAGCTTAATCATTCAAGAAAGCGCCAAAGACATGCTTATTGGTACACAACCAAATGGCCTAACATGCCATGTGACTTGTTGACCCCACTACATATTTCCACCCAACTCACAATTGACAACTCTCCCACCCCACCCCACCCCACCCCACACTTTATTTTATTTTATTTTTACAAATATGTATTCTCAATTTCTCATCATATCAAAATACTTAAGTTTATATATTTTATGCGTGTTTGATAAAAACTGCAAATATTAAAAGATCTTTACGTGTCATGTATGGAATGTACAATATATAGAGAATTTAAAACATTTAATTTCATATGGACTTAATTAATAATATTAGCAACAAAAAATTAAAAAAAAATTAAAATATAAAAAACTCAGAGAGGACAATTGTAATTTATCAAAAGTTAGTTTTCTCATTATAATTATGTATCTTGTATAAAAGAAAAAACTTCATATTTTTCTTTAGTCAAAATAATATAAATTATTTCTTAGCCCCACCAAAAGTAACTTCTGGACCCAATAACCAAAACCACAAACCATAAAATAAAATAAAAAATAAAGGAAACATTTTAAGGAAAGAAAATTGAATTTGGGTATGAGAATCTAAGATGCTTAGCTTAATTAGTCGCATATCATTCTTCCACACGAGGGAATGGTCTGAATACAAATTTAGGTCGCTATCTCAGTTTATGTGGTTCAAGTCAAGCTAGTTATGGCACACGTGTGCATCAGTTTCATCGCTTTCTGGTTACTGTATGCTTGCAATTATTCTTAGATTCACATAATTACGACAACACCTTAATTTTAGGTGTAGTTTTATAAAATGTCAAATAGTGATTTTAATGCACTTAGAAGTTGTTCAAACAAATGAGCAATTTGAGTGAAGTATAGTAGTATACTATGCAACTATAAATTGAAAAAGTATTTTAAATAAGTATTGGATCCAACTGATCGGTTAAATTGAAAATTACAGAGATAATTAATCTGATTCAATTGTTGAATTAATTATGTTATTGAATTGGTGAGAATTGGTAAAAAATCACAAAATCGACAATTTAAATATTTTTTTAATCAAAACGATATCGTTTTGAATTAAAACATAAAAAAAAAATAAAAAAAATGAAAGTAGCAAAAATATCGATATTATGCTCTGAACTAAGTAAGGTACCTGTAGGTATTAGTATAATTTTACAATCTATCAATTCAAGACATGACTTTTGTAAATATATTAGCTATTCTACTTAGTATGTTGTGAAAATAAGTATACCTTCAATGCGATTGCTAGTGTTTAGCTACTGATTTGTATAGTTTGAAAGGGTTCCATAGTATACCAATCACAACCTTCTACCACATATATTTTGAATTGGGTTAAATCTATGATTTCGTAGCTGTTATAGATTTTGTTCTGCAAAACAATTCTCCTTCATCTAATAACAAGCCATATATAAGATACATTGATTTTTCTGACTTGTTTTAGATGTCATTAAAAAGTATGGTTATGATAGTATGGACTTTGTGTTGAAAAAAATAAATAAAACATATAGTGAGGAAAAAAAAGTGTTACGGACTATGCACCGGTTTATCCCATCAGGCCCAACCCAGTATTACCTAGCATGGCCCAAACTGATTTGGACCATGTTACCGGTCAACAAGTGCCCGTCGGACGGAGACGCTCACCAGCCCGGGCACGTCGACCTCGTTCTTCCACAAGCCCCTCCGCGGGGACACACCGACAACCACCTGCCCGCTACGGGCAGAACATGTCTCTGTCGAGCAGGACACACGTCCATCGAGCAGAACAAACGTGTTTCACGCACGTTCTCCACGTGCTCCCCTCTGCGGGGACACGTCATCAACCAACTGCTCATCTCCGAAAGAATAGGTCAAACCCACCTTCCGGAGATCACGGAACAGTTGGACTAGGGCGAAGACCATGTTTCGGTCTTCATTACGCCACGTAAGCCCTAGCAGTCATTTGGATTGGGCCTGGTCATCCAGCCCAACTCAAATGACCGTTGGCCCAGCGCTGGGGTCTCTCTATAAATACTCTCTTCCACAAGAGGGTCAGGTATTCAATTCTCTACCACTTTTCTGTTCTTGCCCTCACTCTGCCCTATTTCTTACTTTGGCATCAGAGTGTCTTGCAGGTACACCCCCCCCCACACACACTTTTCCTCAAACACCTTGGTGATCAACGTCCAAATCGTCAACACATGGCCGACTGTCATCCTCTGACAAAGTCTAATCCACCATTCCACCGCTAGTCAAGTGAAAGGGCGCGTGAAGGCCCGAGGACAACGTCCTTGACCTAATCCATACTCAAATGACACAGTTACCATATGAGGAAGCGTCTGGGATAATCCCTCTGACATGCGCAGGGAAAGCTTTTCCGGTACGAAACCCAGAATTTCTGTTGGAAAACCATTAGAAAGCTCATAAGCACGCCAAAAATTCACAGTTCCCACCGGCGACGAACGCTTATGTGTCGCAACGGCATCAAAATCAACTAAACATCCCAGGCTTTTAAAAGCTCCAACGATGTCGGCAGCAGAGGAAAGTGGTCAAACCATCGCCTGCCACCAACAATCACCGAAAAACAACCCCTACACTACCTAGTTCTGCCTTAACCACATGCATTTTAAGAATTAGAAAGTAAATAAGCCTATGACAGGACACCATTTCAAGCACTTACGTGGTTGAGGAAGGAAATTTGGGGTCGAAGGGCTCTGGCCTGTGAACATACGGTGGTCAGGTGGTATTGGACGGTGCATTGCAGAAGCATAAATCAAGAGAAGAAAGAGAAGCGAAAAGTGCAAATAAACAACTTCTCCCTCTGTTTATAGGTAGTTTATGGGCACATGTGTAGACACGCGCAGCTATAGGCATCATCACAAACCTATCCCAGACATCATGACACATTAAATGCGGCACATGGCGCGAGACACGCATGACACTCCACCTTTTTAGATCACATCAATCATTGGGCTCCCCGTAATTTGAGCTCCCTGACATGCAACATTACAGATTCCCAGGGCACCGAGGAAAAGCCTCGTCCCAGCAACAGGTGGCGACCATGTCCGATCCTCCCTAGGAATATGAACTGCCCTGAAGTTATCACTCACATGCTCGAGAGCAACGACTTGGGGGGGACTCCTGTTCTGGACTGGCATAATAGCTAGGCATGGCCCAATCCACTTCTGCTCCCAAAATAGACCAATTGCCTAAGTCCAACCAATTTAAGGGAGCATTTTCCTTTCTGCCCCTCCACCGGGGATGGTTGGTCGGTTTACCCGTAGGACAATTGCTTGTCCCCAGCAGTTCCTGCTCGTCACGTACGGTTCCACCATCCAGAAACAGTCACGACGCTTGTGTCCGCTATTGCGCCTATTCCCGTAGCAACGACTAGTTTTTGGCACCTCTGCTCGTCCCAACGGCTAGTTTCTGACAGTTACCTATTCTTTAAGAAACAATTATCTCGCCTTGAAAATAGGGACCAATGGTCAAGCGCTGGGGGCACTATAAAAACTATATCTTTTGAGAGAGTCAGATATTCAATAATCATCCTAACACACATATATTTTGTACTTGCCTTCTTTTCTCCCAATTCTGACTTTAGCACCAGAGTGTCTTGCAGGTACACCTCATCCTCATCTCTCACACCCAACATCACAGACATTGTCTCTAGCCCACTTCAGGTTTTGATCAATCGATAAGATCAATCTGTGTTTATAATATTAGATTATATTTGTAACTATAATAATAGATATTGTAATTATTATTAAATATTAGATTTAGTTGGGAGGTTATAAAAAGATAATAGAGAGAATAGAGAATAGGTTTTTCACTTAGGTGAAAAAGAAAAGAGAAATAGAAGAATTAAGGGAAGAGAGAGCTAAGGCAAATGAGTCTTGCAAGAGAACCACCATTG